TTGGACTGGGTTCTTTTTGGCAGTTCCAATGCACTGCTGGGAAAGGTGGAGGAGGGCAGTGCAAAGAGAGAACCAGACAGAAGAGCAGAAGAAGCCACCGGGTGAGTGCTTTTTGTGGATACTTCCAAAGTAAACCTGGCTTTCGAAAAGGGAGGTGTCACATCCCACTTCTGGAACAAAAATCCCTTTTTTCCCCTCTATAAATAACTGGCCTGCGGCCCATATGTGCAAATAATAATAAAGAGCAAAGAAATATCAGCAAATGTTGGTGGGAAAGGAATAGGGAGGGAGAGAGAAGAAGAGAGAGAAGGGAGAGAAAGAGGGAGAGAGATGGAAAATGAAGCAAGAAAGTCACAGAACCAGAGACAGCAAGAATAAAAGAAAGAGAAAGGAAGAAAGAAAGAAAGAAAGAAAGAAAGAAAGAAAGAAAGAAAGAAAGAAAGAAAGAAAGAAAGAAAGAAAGAAAGAAAGAGAGGGAGGAGAGACAGAAAGAGAGGGGGAAAGGAGAGGAGAGAGAAAGAGAGAGAGTGAAGACAGACAGCAACAGAAAGTCACAGGAACAGATAAGAAGAAGAAAAGAAGAGTAAAAGAAAGGAGGGAGGAAGAAAGAAAGGAAAAAAGGAGGAAAGAAAGGAAGGAGGGAGGGAAGGAAGGAAGGAGCACAGGAAGAAGGAAAAAGAGAGAAGGGAGAGAAGGAGAAAGGGAGAGGAAATCTCCGAGGAAACAAATAGAGCGGGTCTGCTATGTATCAGGGAAACAGAGAAATTCTATATGATGAAGGAGGAGAGGGCATTTGCCCTGGACCAAACATCTCAGGCTCCCACCAAAGCAAGGAACAACGAACACAGCCGGGGGAGGTTGGTGTCCGTGGCAGCAGGACCCAAGGAAGGCGGCGGCCCGCAGGTGGCCGCCAGGAGGGGCAGGCTTCCAGCTGCGGCCAGCGGTGGTGAGCTTCGGCTCGCCTGCAGACCGCCACGTCCTTGGGAGGAGCCTTCTGTGTCTGAACTGCTCCCGGGCGGATGATGAATCGCGCTTGCCATCTGCTTCCCAGGGAAGACTTGGCAAAGTTCCACTTCGAACAGAGGAGACTCGCAGTTGCTCGCCTCTCCAGGGCTTGCAGAGAATTTTCCAAGTTATGAAGCTTTAACACAACTCCTCATCCTTTCGGATTTGCATGAACTGCAGCCAAGTTCAAATCGCTCTCCCAGCCCTCTTCCCAGCTGCCCGAACTCGATTATTTTCTCCCCGTGACACCAGGCAAAGAGAATACAAGGATTTGTCCATAAGAAATACACTCATTGCTCTCGCATTCTCCTAGAAAGTGAAATTAAAAGGCAACGAGGAGAGGTAGAGTATGAATATCTTAGACCCGCTGACTGATTTCTGCTGGCTCTGAGCGCCCAAAGTAGGGTCAGCTGTCCAGATTGCACGAAAGAACGTCTTTCCCATTCCAGTCCATGTCTCTGGCCTCGTTGTGGTGTGGTGGTGATATTGGACTCTTTTTAAAAAATTCCTCTTTCTTATTAATTTATTTATTTTTAGTTTTCAACATTCACTTCCACAAGATTTTGAGTTCCAAATTTTCTCCCCATCTGTCCCCTTCCCCCACCCCTAGACGTGTGCATTCTGAATACCCCTTACCCCAATCTGCCCTCCCTTCTTTCTCCCCCCCTTCTCTTATTCCCTTCCCCTTCTATTTTCCTGTAGGGCAGAATAGGTTTCTATTCCCCATTGCCTGTATATCTTATTTGAGGGCTATATCCTATTAGGCTGGAAAGGCTGAAAGTCCAGGCTCAATGATGGATTGATTATGTGTGTTGTCTTGCGCCCATGGAGACACACAGTGCTGAGGGTGAAGAAGGTGGTAGTACCCCTATCCCCTCACCTGATCAGATCACATTTGGAATATGTGGTCAGTTTGGGCATCCAGAGGAGTGTGGCCAAGCTAGTGAAGAACCTGGACACCATTCTGGATGAAGATTGGTCAAAGGAGTGCAGGGTGTTCAGGCAGGAAAGATTTAAGGGTAACATGACACCCACATGTGCTGTACATACGTACAAGTGTTTCAGGGGCTGTGCTCTGCAAGAGAGATCAGCCTTTGGATTGTAGGATTACAAATCCAGGGCAAGAAGCAAATCCAGAGGCCATATGGCCCAACGGCTCCACCCTCATTTTTCGGATGCCGCGGGTTGGGATGGGAAGTGATTTTCCCCAGCATATCCTGGTCTAGACAATAGATGCTTTTCACCTGTTTAATTTTGCATGTGAATGTTAGGTAGGCCTCATCGCCTCCTCCAATGTAGAGATATAATAGGGTATTGCAGTGTAATAAAATAATGATATGATCATGATGACAGCAGTATTTTCTTCATAACAACCCTGGAAGGGTAAAGGTGTTAGCATCACCATTTTAAGGATGAGGAAACTGAGGCTGAGAAGTGAAAGGACTTCCCTAGGGTCACCAGCAGCCAACAAGGGTCTGAGGCAGGATTGGAACTCAGCTTTTCCCATCTCCATGTCCAACTCTCCATTCACAAGGCTCTGTTGCTGCTCAGACATAGTAATTATAAACCTCTAAAAGCCTGTCTCTTTGGGGGCTCTGGGCTGGTGCCCTCAGCTGGCTTTGGAGACTAAAGCGGCAGGTTTCGCCCTCCTCCAGGTCAGTCAGCTTTGCATAGAGAAAAGCTTTCTTGCCTGCCTCTGGCAGAGGAGGCAATGAAGTGCCAGTCCTCTCTGATGACTCCATCTGCTGCCAGACGGCAGCGAGTGCTCAGGAACGGAGGTCAGCCCTTCTCAGTGGCCCCCTAGTAATCCGACCAGCACAGGTCCTGCCTCCTCATTCCATTAGCCTCACCCAGCTGCCCACAGACCCGCAAAGACCTGTAAAGGCATGGCTCTCAAGGTTTCCTTACAGTCTAGGAGCCAGGATGCCGGCTGGTGAAGAAACACACAGGCTGCCAGGAAAGGCAGTGAGGGACTGGCCACCAGCTTCTATAGCAATGGAATTCCTTGGGAGAATGCAGGCCAGTATGAGCTCTCTCTGACTTTCTCCCTTCAAGATCTGGCTCTGAAATAAGCCTCCAGCTGACTGGAAAAGAGCCAGGTTTTTCTAACCAGTATGGAAGGTTTTTTGTGCTGGATTTTATAGCATGGTCATGTGGCTATAGTCACGGTTGCCCTGTGGCCTAGCTACAGACGTGATGTGGGGTATCCCTGGTGTGAAGAGGAGCAGCTTCCTCTCCAAGATGGGGGTTCCTAGGTCCATGAGGTTACTACACTATGGCACGGACATCCAGGGGCAGATGTGACCGCTTCAGCTTGACCCCCTCAACCCTGGTCTAGCAAGCATGAGCACCACTGGTCATCAGGGTAAAGAGTGGGGATAATCTAATAAAATCTGCTGGAGGGAAAGTTGGAGGTCAACTCTTCCAACCCCCTGCCCCTCATTTTATAGATGAGGTCCAGAGAAGGGAGGTCATTTTCCCAGTCACAAAGGCAGGAGCTGTCAGAATGAGCTCCTCCCCCATATCTTGGATACTTTCTCCCTTCTATCATGGCACCTCTCCTTTGCCCTCTTGATGAGGTTTGACCTTCAAGTGCCTGTTTGCCTTATTGTCCATTGTCAAGCTCATGCTTGACCACAGATGACCAGAATATTAAAATATAATCTTAAATTAAATATAATACATAATACATATAATAAAATATAATTTTAAATTAAAATAAAATAAGTCCATGGAAGTGGGACTTTATGGCATTAAAATGGGTGCATTTATGAAAAGTGCTATTTCAAGGTGTCCTTTGCTGCTGCCTCAGGCTCACCTGTGTTGTACCCTGGGCAGTCCTGGAGGGCAGGGACTGTTTCATTATGTTGGCTTTGGTTCTTCAGTGCTTAGCATAGTGTCTGGCATACAGTTGGTGGTTAATAAATGCTTGCTGAATTAAGTTCTTTAGCTTGCTTACCCCTAGTCCTAACTCTGATGAAATCCATCACCACCTGTGAAAAGTGACAGCAAGCATCATTAGCTGTGTGGGGGGAGTCAGAAGGGGCTTCTCTATATTTTGAAGGACGCACAATTTACCTCTTAAAGATCATTCCTAGGGGCAGCTAGGTGGCGCAGTGGATAGAACACTGGCCCTGAAGTCAGGAGGACCTGAGTTCAAATCCTGCCTCAGACCAAACACTTGACACTTACTAGCTGTGTGACCCTGGGCAAGTCACCTAACCCCAATTGCCTCACTAAAAAATAAAAAAATTTAAAAAAATAAAGATCATTCCCTCTATGGTCTTACATAGTCTTATCTACCAGCCCACCTTTCCATTTTCTCTATGACCGTCTTTTTTTCTGCTTTTGTCTCCCTCCCCTACTTCCTCTTACTGAGATATTGGCAACAGGTGTCACTTAAAAGCAACCTTTAAACAAATATAACCAGGCTGCCAATTAGGCCCCAACTCAACTCTCACAGGCCTCCTTTGGCTTATGCTCTCCCATGGTTCCTTGTGGGAACATCAGAATTTGACTCATGTCTCTTCTAAAAAGGGCACTCAGCTCCTCTGCAAACAGTCAGGCTAACAGGACGAGGAATATAGAACAGGTTTTATTTAGTGTGACAGAAAACACAGTATGGGATTGTACTCAAGCCCCTAGGTGATCAGGAAAACTGTTCTCCCCTTTCTGAATGACATCAAACCATCCTCTTCCTGGTGGGTCCACCTTTGTTCAGGCACTATACGGTTCACGCGAGTCACAGTACTAATGGATAAACAGGTTTGGGTCTCTTCGCAGGCTCTTTGCAGATCCTTCTCTGCTTAGGTCTCTGTTTCCTTTGACTAGCCCAAGGTCCAGCTCAGTTGTGTGAAGAATATCTGCCAGTGGGGTAGTGAGGTTGAGAGGAATGCGTAGGTGGGAATGCCCGCTGTGTAACATCAAAAAATAGAGTAGCTGTTCTCCAGACTATGTGGGGGATGGGCTTCAAAGGGCATTGTTGTCTCCTATAGGTCCATGACCGCTTGGATCGCTATTGTTGTGGCTTTCAACCGGAGCCCTCGGACCCGTGCCTAGAAGAAAGACTCCGAGAGAAATGCCGAAATCCAGGCGAGCTGCTGCTTGTCCACATCCTGGTAAGCCTCTCCTGCCCGCTCTGCCTGGTGCCTTCCTTCACTTACTTAGAGGACAGACTATAGGATAGGAGGATGTAAAAGCAGGAGAGGACACAAGAGGTTCCTTGTTCCCAGAATCTCAGAATTTTAGAGTTGGAAGGGGCTTCAGTAGACAGCTATTCCAAGCCATCCACAAAATATCCACCATGTTGTTATCTACCTTATCCCACCATCCCTGACCACAGGAACCTCCCAGGCCCCCTCTCTACTCCTGGAACAAAATGCTATTTCTAATGCACTTTAGAAGAAGATCTCAAGGAGCACGTTGGTACCCCCATAACACTACAGGAACAGCAGGGATGGCCCCCATAGTACAGCTCACCTATCTGAGAACAGATAGTCCACATTAAGAAAATTCCATTCTTCTGTGTCCTCCAAGGTTCATCAGTGTTAGACTCAAGGTCAGGAAGATCTAGGGTTCAGGTCTCACCTTTGGCACTGTCTGTATGATAAAACACATAAGTTCTCTGAGCCTCAGTTTCCTCTTTTGTAAATGTAGATAATAGCATATGTAGACCCTCCCTTGCAGGGTTGTTTGATGAGGCAGCTATGTGATGAGTAGATAGAATGTTGTATTTGGAATCAGCACAACCTGAGTTCAAATCCCACAGCAGAGACTTCCTAGTTGTGTGACCCTGGTCAAGTCATTTAGGTTCTCCTAGACTCAGTTTCCTCATCTGCAGAATAAAGATAATAGCAGTACTTACCTTCCAGAGTTGTGAGGATCAAATGAGATCACCTGAGTGCAGTGCTTTGCAAACCTAAAATACTATATAAACCCTAGCTATTAATGAGGAGGAGGAGGACCCACTGATTATTAATATCAAGGGTTGCACTTGTAAGGAACAAATGAGATTGTGTCTATAGAATGCTTTGCAAATGCTATAGTGTTATGTAAATGTGGGCTGTTGTTGCTATCATCATCATCATCATCATGATCTTCTCCATTATGATCTTCTTCTCCATCATCATCACCGTCACCATCATCATCATCATCATCGTCATCATCTTTATCATTCTTGTTCCTCTTCTCCACAAGGTCCGGGAGAGTGACCCATCTCGCTTGGTATACATCGATAATGCTGGCAAACCTTTGCACCCAGAAACCAAACTGAACTTCAGGCTTCTCGAAGGCATAGATGGGTATGTTCAGGGATGTTTCTGGACATGTGCAATAGGACTGGGGCCATATGGGAGGGTGATCTCCACCTTCCATTACACTCATAGCTGTGTGACCCTGGGCAAGTCAACTGACCACTCTGAGCCCGAGTTTTCCCACAGGTAAGGTGAGGATCACAATGGCCCTTTCTGAGGGTAGTTGGGTGATAATGTTTTGTAGACCTTAAAGAATAAAAGGATTACTGATTCTTATGATGCTCACATTGCTTCCTTTCTGTCCTGGGGTCATTCCCTCCAGATTTCCAGAATCAGTGGTGAAGATAATTGCCTCGGGATGCTTAGCGAATATGCTGCTGAAGTCACTGCGGATGGACCCAGAGTTCTGGGAGAGCCAAGGTGGGCACCAGGGCCTGAAGCCTTTGCTTCGCACCATTGAGAGGAGAGGACAGATCCTGCTGGAATACATCCGGGGGCACAACTTAACCCTCTTCAGGGAAGAGACTGAAGGAGGGGTCCAGGTGCCACTCACCTGACTAGCACCAGATCTCATGGTGGAAAACCAGGAGGACAGGCCTACAGTCAGGGAGTCAGTGTCTTCAGGGCTCCCCACGTTGCAAGGTGCATTTTTCCACGGTGCAAATGAAATGAGTAGAAAACTGTTGCAATTTCCTGCCCTCTGCAGCACCTCCAGCTGAGGCGGGCAAAGCAAACTGCTGACTCATGGCTTTCATGGGTGACTGTCCCCACTATCACCTCCCGGGGGGGTCTTTGTCACTGCCCCAGCTGCCTCTCCTGTCACTCCGGCAGGGAGTGACATTTGTGAGGGTGGCATGTCTCTGGAAGGACAGCTTTTGACATCTTAGAGGAATTTCTTTGCCACTCATAAGTCTTGACTTAGCGCCCTCTTCATGCCAGGCAGGCACTGGGCTAGGCACCGGAGGATACAAAGACAAAACTCAGAATACTGCCTGCCCTCAAGGAGCTTCCATTCTATGTGAAAGCACAAGGGCTTTCTGACTCCCCAGCCTGGATGCCGGTAGTTCAGGTCAAGCATTCTATGCAAATTCATCCTGATGCTGCACAGGGTCAATCTCAAGTGTGTGAACAAAGGTGCTTGTCTGTCTGGATGCCCGACTCTGTGTGTGCGTCTGACAGTGTGCATCAGGCTGAAGGGGGAGGGGAAACAATTCTCCTTGTGTCCCCCTCAGCTTGGAGACAGACTCAGGAGGGCTGTGGGGAGACGTGGAGCCCAGCCTGGGCAATGAAGAATTGAGAAGAATTTATTTTCAGAGCTGAATTTCTCAGTGTCTGCTCAGACGTGAAAGCTGCTCTGTTTTCAGTTGTAATTTCAAGCTGATAAGGGGGACAGCTTTCGAAGGTTTGGCCATCAGCACACTCATTTCTAGTCCCAGCTGCTTCATTTAGAGCCCCTGACTGCGAGGCAGTCCTAGAGGTGCTGAACTGTGCTATCACTCACAGGTAGAGCTGAGTGGGCTTTAGAGCAGGGTTTTTTTTTACCTTGGGATTCACATACCTCTTGAGGTGGGGGTGGGGAGGAATTCAATCTTTATTTTCACCAGCCTCTAACTGAAATTTAGCATTCCTTTTATTATTTAAGATTCTGAGGAGGGGTCCACAGGTTTCACTGGGATGCCTGAGGGGTCTGAGACACACAAAAGGTTAAGAACCTCTACCTTAGAGTGTATGCTCACACACACACACACACACACACACACACACACACACAAACCTTCCACACACTGACAACAACCATGTGAATGAAGGCAGCATTAAAAATGAAACTAAAAATAAAAATAAAATAAAAAGTCAACAAAATTCTGTCCAATGCAACTGATGATACTGGGCTAGCCTGTGAAAGTCAGAGCTGACTTCCTTTGACCAGAGAAGGCTGCCGGCTGGATCTGCCCATGAGCCACTCTTGTAAACAGTGACTGTTTGGGGGAATGGGATACAGCACGTTGGGGACCTGGGGTTTGTTAAGGCTCATCTACTGTGTTGAAACAAGGTGAATCCACGGAGTCTGGGTTCCCTTCCCTAGTGAGCCAGACCCTGCCCTCTTCCAAAAGCCTTTTCTGATGTTTGCTGATGCTCTCTTGGTTTCTTGTCTTCTCTGGTCCCGACCCCCATTTATTCTGACCACACTTTACTGGACCTACTAGGTCACTGACTCGGAGACTCCCTCCAGCCCATGACATCCGCTTTATTCAGTCAGTCTTCCAACAGTCCCGACCATGAGGGCAGGAAGTCGGTCTCCTCTTGAGAGGCAGTGAGCAGAGCACAGGTTGGAGCGAGGAAGACTTGGACTTCTTTACCACATTTACACTTCTGTGACCCTGGGCAAGTTACTGGTATTTAACCTCTCTGAACCTCAGTTTCCTCACCTGTAAAAGGAGGGGCTGGACTAGCTGGTGTTCGAGGTTCCTTCTCACTCTCGATCTGTGATCTTCCTGAACCTCTCTGGATCATTATCGGAAAGCACGCCTTGTGTTTCAGAGCAGAGACTCAGTTTATTTTTTTCACATCATTTGAACCCTAGGAATAATTAATTATATAGTACTTCCTATGTGCCAGGCCCCTGTGCTAAGCATTTTATAAATACTATCTCATTTGGTCCTTAAAAAACACTGTGAGGTAAGTTATCCTTATTTTATCTTTGAAGAAACTAGGGCTGACAGAGGTTAAGTGATTTGTCCAGGGTCACACAGCTAATAAGTGTCTGAGGCTGGATTTGAATTCACTGTGCCAACACTAGGGGACATATACTTCCACTAAAAGGATCCATGTTTGGGTGCACCCTCCCCTGGTCCAGGTCCAAACCCCTCTATGTTCTAGTGGTCAGAGAGGCCGTGGCCAAAAAAAGCCATCTCTAGTGATGAGTCTTCTGAACTTAGCCAGGCAGGGACTTGGGTGACAGATGCTCACTAGGCCGACATTCAAAAGGTCTGCCCAAGCTCATGCCCCACTGGCCAAGCCCTGAAGGGCCCAGGGTCACCTCCATGCTATGACGACACATTAGAAGAGGGATGGCACCTCCACACAAGTCCTCTCTAGGACTTCATTGGCTGGGCTGTGCAGAGGACCTTAGGACCTCAGAGTCCATGCCCATGGTGGGAAGTTCTAGTAGGCCCTATTAAATTGGAAGGGATCCACATATGGGCCTGGGGATGGACAGTGTGTGTATGTGTGAGGCTCAAGCAAAGACAAGAAAAAAGAGACCAAGGCTTTGTCCTTGGGTCCCAGGAATCCTCGGAGGAGAAGGGCAAAGCAGCCCCAAGAAGCCTTTTATCTTCTTTGAGATGAAGGAGGAGCTGAAGCCTGGCCCTCCGGGGCAGCACTGAAAGCAGTGTGGTCCCATGTGACTCTTCCTCTCGGGCGGCTGCACTTACTGGAGTTTTCTACTAAAGGGCTTTCTAAATTAACCTAGTGTCTTCAATAGCTATTCCTTAAGCCGACTCAGAAGGACATTGGATGTCTTTTAATCATGCAGGGGCCCATAGCAGGGTCTCAATAGGTTGAATGGAATAAGATTCAAGTATAGATGCCTCCCAAAGTGGAGAAAGCTCCTCCCCTGATGCATGGCCCACTCAGCCAGCAATGCCCCCTCTCTGAACAGGAATGGAAGGAGATTCTCCCATGAGGGTCAAGGGGAATCTAGTCCTCTTGTGATGCCAGAGGAAGACTATAGAAGATCCTGGAGACTGTATCACCCAAGCTAATGAGCTACATCAGCTGGCCAGTGGGGTGGTGGCCTGGTGGAGAGAGCATCAACTCTGGAGTCAAAGACATGGGTTCAAAACTTGCCTCTGATGCTTTCCACTTTTATGACCACGATGAGTTGGTTATTTCACCTCACTTTCCTCAACTATAGAAGGTCAGGGATTCTTAACCTGGGGTCTCTCAACTTGTTTTACTTTTTAAATGTGTTTTTTTTAAAGTTTTTTGGCCACTATTATTTCAATATAATTCATTTCCTTTGTAATCGTTTGTATTTTATCCATTCAGATATACGACTCTGAGAAGGGCTTTACTAGACTGCCCTGGTCCATGCCTCCAAAAAGGCAAAGAATCCACGTACTAAACACTCCAGCCCAGAAGAGAGAAGGCTTAATTTGGAGTCAGAAGTTCTGGGATCTACCATTCACTAAGGGATTGGGACAAACTGACCTGCCTCTCTGGGCCTCAGTTGCTGACTAATAACAATAATAATAATAATAATAATAATAATAATAATAATAATAATAATAATAATAATAATAATAATGGTGATAATAGCTAGCATTTATATAGCTCCTACTACTTTCCAGCCACGATGCTAAGCACTTCACAAATATCTCACTTGATCCTCATAATAACCCTGAGAGGTAGATGCTGTTATTATCTCCATTTGACATTTGAAGAAACTGAGGCAAACAGTGGCTAAGTCCAGGGTCTCTCAGCTAGCAAGTGTCTGAGGCTGGATTTGAATTCAGGTCTTCTTGAGTCCTCTGCCCCGTGCTCTGTGCACTGCGGCGTCACCGAGCGGAAAAGAAGTGCGCTGTTCTTCCTTCGTTCTGTCCTCGTATTTCACCGTACAAACCCGCTGTGTTCCTCAGCATGACAAGGGGTCTTCTGCCAGAGGAATTCCATTCAATTCAATGCACCTTAATTAAGCGCCTACTATGTGGCTGACAGGGCATTGCTAGGCACGGGGAGCCCAAGACAAACCATGAAAGAGTCTTTGCCCTCAAAGAGCTTCCATTCTACTGGAGGTTCGTTTTAACAGACGAGGATTTTTACAATAATGACTTGAGGAGGGGGAGAGCTCCTGACAATAAGGGGCATCGATCTGGTAACATTTCCAGAACATTTATTGGGCACTCACTGTGTTCCACACACTTTAGGTGTTAGGGATACAGAGACTTTTAAAAAATGAAATAATTCTTGCACTCATAGAGCTTACATTCTACCATGGGGAAATTGCAAGGACACAGATAAATACATACAAAATATACAGAGAACAAATTGAGGGTAATTTGAGGGGAGAGGATGAGTGCACTCACAGTTTGGGGGGGTCTGAAAAAGACTCCTCGGACCCTTGGAAGAAGAGAGGGACCAGAGGCTGAGGGAGGGAGCATTTGAAACTGGTACCCAACATACAGTCTGGGCCAAGAACCTACTTCTGCCTCCCACTAGAATTCTTAGATGCCCGAGAACGGCAAAGATACAGTGCTTCTAGGTTCCACCTTTGGGCAGCTATGTGGTGCCATAGTGCACAAAGCGCTGAATCTGGAGCCAGGAAAACCTGAGTTCAAAACCAGCCTCAGACACTTATTAGCTGAGAGACTCTGGACTAGTCACTTAGCCGCTGTTTGCCTCAGTTTCCTCACCTGTATAATGGGGGTTATCACGGCACCTACTTCCTAGAATTGTGAGAGTCGGATGACATAATAATTATAAAGTGCCTGGCATACAGTAAGTGCCATGCAAATGGTAGTTATTGCTATTAATATGAGGGCTCCAGTCTTCCCAAACCAAGCCTGTGGCTTAATAAGGATGCTGCCAAGCTCCTTGGAATCGGACGAAGAAAACGGCAGGGCACTGCCACGTGGCTCCCCTGGTGTTGTGACACATTGGCTTCCCCCCTTCCGGTTTCTCATTAAAGCCTGCTCAGTCTATTAACTTTTTCTTTCTTACAAATTTAAAACTTCATCCATCCCTGATCCCTCTCCAAAAAGCCTCCCCCCAACCCTTTCAGCTGTAGTGGGTAGTGTGTCCCAGATGCCCCTGCCAGCCGCTGCCTCTGGAATGATAATGAGCTGTCGAAGAAAACAAGCCTAGGGCAGGCAGCCGGTCTTTCCGTGAGCATCCCGCAGCGGCTGCCTCTGCAGAGCAGAGACGTTCACGGTCTCCTCAAGCAGATGTTTGCTCAGCTTCCTTCCAGTCAACGTTCGCAGGCAGAGGGAAGGGAATGGGGCGGGGGAAAGAGCTTCAGAGCTGAAGCCCACCCTCAGGATCACTTACGGCAGGCCAACCAGTCCAATCATCTCATTTTACAGATGAAAAGACTGAGGCCCAGACACACGAAGGATCCTGGGAGGAGCATGTCTGGACCTGGGATTTTTTTTTTTCCCAGGGACAGATGGCACTTAAGGTCTCAGAGATTTGTCAGTGTTCATCCAGAGAGAACAAGTCAGAGGAAAGCGTTGAACCCAGGTCTGGCTGACTCTAACCACCGTGCAATGTCTTGCACATGGTGAACGCTTAATAATTTTTGTTGAATTGAATTGGGGCAGTAGGAAGAATGGCGAATCTGCCGTCAGAGGCTCTGAGTTTGAACCTGGGCTGGTGCCCTGGGCAAGCCCCTTGACCCTGCTGGGCCTCTGTTTCCTCTCCTATAAACTGAGGATGTTGGATGGGGTGACCTCCTAGCCTGGTCCCTTCTAGCTGAGCCTGTGAAGCTCCTCTGTTCTTATTCAGGTCCTCCCCACAGTATGAATCACAGATTTATTACTACCAGGTGAGGCCCGGCTCTGCATGTATGAGCCTCGGAATATACAGTCCTTTAACCCAAAGAGA